GGGAAAGAAGAGGTGAAATGATCTCTATTTGCAGATGACATGACTGTGCACATGGAAGACCCAAAGGTATCCACGAAAAAAACTTCTGAAAGCAATAAATGAATACAGTAAAGTATTAGGATACAAAATCAACATACAAAAATCTATAGCATTTCTATATACGAACAATGAATAGACTGAGGTAGACTGAAGAAAGTAATTCCATTTACCACAGCCACAGAAAAGTGTAAGATACCTAGGAACAAATCTAACCAAAGAAGTCAAATACCTCTAAAAGAAAAAGTATGAAAGCCTAAAAAAAAAAAAAAGACACAAAAATAGTAGAAGGACATCCCATTAATATAATCAAAATGACAATTCTACCAGAAATAATTTACATATTTAATGCAACCCCAATCAAAACACCAGAGACATTCTTCACAGAGTTAGGAAAATCTATCATAGAATTTGTCTGGAATCATAAAAGACTCCATATTGCCAAAGCAATTCTGTGCAAGAAGAGTGGAGTAGGAGGTATGTCACTCTTGGATCCCAAAATATATTACAATATAAGTACTACAATGGTCAAAACAGCATGGTACTGGCAAAAAAACAGACATGTGGACCAATGGAACAGAATAGAGACCCCAGAAATAAATCCCAAAACATACAGCCAACTGATTTTTGACAAAGGGTACCAGTCGACCCGGTGGGAAAAGAAAAGCTCTTTCTGAATGGTGCTGGAAAAACTGGGTATCCAACTGTAGAAAGATGAACCTTCTTTCTTTCTTTTTCTTTTTCTCTTTTCTTTTCTTTTTTTTCTTTTCTTTTCTTTTCTTTTCTTTTCTTTTCTCTTCTTTTTTCTTTTTTCTTTTCTTTCTTTCTTTCTTTCTTTCTTTCTTTCTTTCTTTCTTTCTTTCTTCCTTTTTTTTCTTTTTCTTTTTTTTTTTTGAGCGGCTTTTGCTATAGGTGTGTGTGCTTGCTAGAAAGACAGAGAGAGACAGAGACAGAAAGCGGGAAGTCACCCTCCAGGGGGGATGGCCATGCCATAATCCCTCCTCCTCCATTCTCCTCTCGAGATCCTGGGCACACATGCACACACGCCTGGCATGAGTTTATGCCACCGGGTCTGGGACTCAAACCACTGTTGACTACATGGGAGTCTAGCAACATAGCCATTACGCCAACTGCTAGTCCCTGAACCTTCTTTTCTTAAATTTCTTAAAATCAGCTTAAGAAATTTCTGTACAGCAAAAGACATAGTAATTAGTATGAATCGACAACTCTCAGGAGGGGAGAATGTTTTTGTAAACTATGCCTCAGATAAGGGACTGATAACCAGAATACACAGGGGACTCAAGTGGCTCACCTGAAAAAGATAATGATCAACCCAATTAAAAGATGGGAAAATGAACTGAACAAATCTCTAAGAGAGATATATGATCAGCCAAAAAGTATATAAAAAAAAAATGCTCACTGGGACCAGCAGTTAGCATAATGTCTATGTCGCTGGACTCCCATGTAGTCGACTGTGGTTTGCGTCCCGGACCTGGTGGCTTGAAACTCACGCCAGGCGTGTGTGCATGCATGCCCAAGATCCCAAGAGGAGAATGGAGGAGAAGGGATTGCGGTGTGGCCATCCCCCCTGGGGATGATTTTTTGCTTTCTATCTCTCTGTCTCTTTCTGTCTTTCTGACGAGAGCACACACCCTATAGCAAAAACCCCTCCAAAAAAAAAAAAAAAAAAACCAAGCACCCCCGACGGAGATACAGATCAAAACCATGAGATACCACCTGACCCCAGTCAAAATGGCAATGATTAAAAAAAATGCTAAGAGCTGGTGAAAGCGGAACTCTCCTACACTGTTGGTGGGAATGTAAATTGGTCCAGGCACCATGGAGAACAATTCTGAGCTTCCTCAAAGATCTACAAATAGAACTATCAAATGATCCAGCAAATCCACTCCTGGGTGATTACTCAAATTATAGGAGAATGCTCAGTTAGAAAAATGGTTGCACATCTATGTTTATTGCAGCATTATTCCCAATTGCTAAGACATGGAACCAACCCAAATGTCCATGAACAGATGAATTGATTGAAAAAGTATAGTATATATACTCTATGGAATACCACTCAGCCATAAAAAATGATATACTGGCATTTGATAGAAAAATATAGAAGATTTACTGCTAAGTGAAGCAAGCCAGGCTATGAAAGGGAGACATTGTATGTCTCTACTTAACATAAATCCACTTTCTGCATGTTATGGTGGAAACTGAAAAACTAGAGGATATAAAAGCATGGAAAATGGTTAGGGATACTGAAGGCAGTGTGGAAAGAGGGTGGGAGAAAGTGGAGAGTATGAGGAAAGAAATTAAGGATAAAAATAAAGAGGCAGGACAATTATGAGACACACAAATAGATTATTATCTGTTTATGATAACATGTATAGTATCCTGAACTGAACTGGCATGAAGTATATTCATGTTGGGTAAATTCATTTTACAAATTAAGAGATATATACTGATTGAATGTATAAAATAAAATAAAATAAAATAAAAGAAGAGCGATTCCAGTCCCAAAGACACTATAAAAAGCAACAGCTTGTCTTTCTCTCCTAATAGAAATAAACTCTTGAGGCCAGGGTCTTTTGAAAATTTACTGTTATAGCTCTAATACCTAAAACGGTGCTTGGCAGGTAGTAGGTACTCAGTAATTTTTTGTTGAATAGGTGGTATTAGATACCAGTGCTTCCACTTTGGCTGACTTTTAGCAATGCCCCTCTACATGTGAAAGCTATCCAGAAGCAGGGAAGGGGGGTGTGTAACGTAAATCTCTTACTTTCACTCCCTTCTCTACCATCTATAACCCATGAGCATTCTGAGACTGAATTTCAAAAGTCTCCTCTTAGGGAGAGGAGGTAGGAAATGATTGCCACATTTTTCCCCAGCCCACCTATTTCTTCCTTTCCCAATTGCAGCCATCTATACATGATGTCAACCAGCGTGTTAGAATCCGCCTCTGGGAGGTCAGCAGGTGGCATAATGGTTAAGGTGCTGGACTCCCAGATGGCCAATTGCAGTTCGAATAACAGATCTGGCAGATTGAAAATCATACCAGGTGCTTGTGTGTGCACAAAATCCCAGGAAGAGAATGGAGAAGGGATTGCTAAATGGCTGTCCTCCCTAAATGGTGATTTCTCACTTTCTTTCTCACTGTCTCTCTCCTCTCCAGCAAGCACATGTGCTTTATGGGAAAAACAAAAACAAAAACAAAAACAAACAAAAGAACAAAACAAACAAAAAACCCAACAACCTTAAAGGCAAAAAAAAAAAAAAAAAAAGAATCCATTTCTGGCTCAGGATAGACCTGACTTCCAAAAATCCTATCATGAAGGATTTGTAAACATAAGAATCCCTGGGACCAGCAGATGGCTTAATGGTTATATCACTGAACTCCCCCATGGCCAATTATGGTTTGAATCCTGGGCCTGGAGGCTTAAAACTCAAGGTGGGCATGTGTGTATGTGTGCCCAAAATCCTGAGAGGAGACTGGAGAAGAAATGACTGTGGAGTGGCCATTTCCCCTTGGGGTGACGTCTCACTTTCTGTCTCTCTGTCTCTAGCGAGTGTACACACCCTATAGCAAAATAAAATGAAATAAAAGTAACCTCTCTATGAAAAAAGGAATCCCTTATTTGTCTATTATATAAATTCAGACTTCTATGAATGGGGTTTGTCTAAATCAAAATTATCTGTACTAAAAATAGGGATTTCACATAGTTAACAGATTAGCACATTTTTGCTAAACCAAGAGAATATGAGAGTTGAGCTTAAAACTAAAAACTGGTTTAAAATTCTCCGAAACTTCTCAACAATGTCCTGCTGATTGATGCAATAAACCACAGCTGAAGTGGCCTTAGCAATGGTGGACCATTTTGGATATCATCTGTGTGTTTAAAAAAAAAATCATCGAGTTTGATCTCTTTGGACAATCAGATGCTAACTCACCCCTGGAGCCCAGTATCCTGTTAGGAAAGGAGAGGAGGGTAGACCTTTCCCATTGGCTGGGATTATTTACCCAGAGGTCTGGCTTTCACATAAAAGACAGAAAGCACGGCGGTCACACCCGACTTCCAGTAAAGGGTGCCAGCCAAAAGAACAAAAAAACATGGCAAGAATATGGTTGTTTTTCCTCCCCAGCCTTGCAGCCGTCTGTGCCACGCATGGAATATTTATGGACAGACTTGCTTCCAAGAAACTCTGTGCAGATGACGAGTGCGTGTGTAAGGACTTTTTAAAATGCTTTTCATGATCTTTCTAGTGTATATTGAAAAAATATTCATTAACAGCATAAGATGCAATTGTACTTTGGAATGAATCTTCTCCAAGGTGAAGGTTATTAGCGTTGTGTCTCCTGCCTTCCCGTGGAGAAGTCACTGGTTAAGACTGTTGCGGCTTTCACATCTTCCTCTCTGACTCTCCTTGAAAGGCACAACTGTAAACCGGCAGGAATCCCATCATGTTGATTCCTACATTTTCTAATGTACTTTGCTTTTTTATTGTTGTAAATGCAGGAGCCTAAAATGTAGTCATTTCAACTTTTTTTTTTTCCAGATACTATTTCTCTGGCTAGAGCTGAAGAAGATTACAATGCTCCGGACTGTAGATTCATTAATGTGAAAAAAGGACAGCAGATCTATGTTTATTCAAAGCTGGTAAAAGAAAACGAAGCTGGAGAATTTTGGGCTGGCAGTGTAAGATGAGATTCTTAAAAGTATATACACATCTTCATCTATGAGGCTCCTAACTTTTTATTTTGTTACCTTTCTTCCACAAGCATTTTAATGTTTAAAAGTAGGTGTCAAGAACAATGTAGAGGGACTGGTAGGTAGCATGGTGGTTAAGATTCTGGGCTCTCACAAGGCTGACTGTGGTTTGAGTCCCAGAGCTGGTGGCTTGCTTTCTTGCTCTTTGTTTGGTCAAATAATAATAATGATAATAATAAATATAATAATTCTTTTAAAAATAACAATGTATAGATTATAGATATAAATGGATATAAATGTAAAAATCCAAGTATATTTGCATTTTAAAGAAACAAAGGTAATTACAAAGCAAAAACAAATGTAGGTTAACATGATGTTTTGGCAAGAAAAGAGAAAGGTCAAACAGGTCAGGTCATGAACATCCCAGAGAGTTTAACTCTTATTTTAAAATGCCTAACTAAGATTTGCCAAGTCAAAGGCATGTGCATTGGCAGTCAGTCTAAGTTTCCATATTCTTCTAGGAAGCTCTAGCATCCTCTTTAATTCTGAAAAATCTACTTTCTTCCATTATACATACAAGGGGCCAGTAGTATAACACACTACTCATACTAGGCTGGATCCCTACAGAAGATCACAGGTTCAGTTCCCAGGTCAGCCAGCACATGCCAATCACATGTGTCCATGGTCCTGGCTGGCTGGGAGACCAGGGGGAGACAGCCTCATGAGATCCTGTTGAAGGTGCTTATCTTTCTCACCCTGTCTCTTTAACTCTAATTAAAAAATTTAAAAACTTAAACAACAACAACAAAAACACACTAAGATTGAGGCCTTAGGGAGAGATGAAGTTGGGTTGATTTACTGTCCTCATCTGCAGCTCCAAAGATAGGTTCTAAAGCATAAAACATTACATTTAAATTAATCCAAAGGATTGTTCATTTGAATTGTTACAAACTAAGAAACACGCATCCTTTAAAATACAAGCGTCAGGCCCGCTGGTGCATGGTGGTGAGGACAACTGCATCCCATATGGCCAACTGTGCGTTCATCTTCCAGACCCTGTGGCTTGTGAAACACTCTGGGCACATGTGCATGCACGCCCAAGATCCTGAAAGGAGGGAGAAATGGAGAAGGGATTACAGTGGGATCATTTCCTGTGGGGGGTGCTTTCTCACTTTCCTGCTCTCTCTGTCTCCCTCCAGCCAGCGCACGTGCTCTCTGGCAAATTTTTAAAAAGAAAGAAGAAAGAAAATGTGAAAAGTGTCTATTTACTTAAAAAAAAAAAAGATTGGCTTTCTTATTTATGGATTCCAAAAATATTTCAGGTAGCTCACCAGATTGTGTGAGATAAAGCAATGCTAAAATAGTGAGCCACTGGGGCAGAGATACAATCTCGTGGGTTATGTTAGCTGCTGGAAGGAAATCAGATTTGTCTCTGAGTGCCCTGGAGTGAAGGGAGGCACCGGTGGTCATGATCAAACAAGAAGATGCCTGAGGGCTTCTCAAGAGACTCTCTCATAAGCTTCCCCTTGACGGCTACTTCTCTGGACACTCAGGTGTATGGTGATCACCAGGATGAGATGGGAATCGTGGGTTATTTCCCCAGCAACTTGGTCAAGGAGCAACGTGTGTACCGAGAAGCCACCAAGGAAGTTCCCACCACGGTAAGCATCCCAGAGGTGACCAAATGAGGACTCAGGTCCTGGGCTAATATAGGCTGGTCTTAAAAAATGCATCATGGCCCAGCACAGTGGCCAAAAGGGTAAGGCACCACTGTGTAAGGCTGGAGCCACATATGAGACCCAGGTTCAGATCACAGGTCAATCTGAACAAACTGAGCATGGTAGCTTGTGCATGTAATTCTATTTAACTGGGAGGCTGGGATAGAAGATGGCAAAGGCATCAGAAACCTCTCTCTCCCCCTCATCCTTCCACAAGCCCTCTTTTATTAAAACAAAAACAAAACAAACAAAAACCAATGGTGTCGTGCAACTTAAAAGATGTATGGAACAGAGCATCCAACTTCCATTGGCCACTTTTCTGAGATAGTGAAGTTTGGGAGGAGGACTTACATCTACTGTCAATGTTGAAAGACTTGTACCCTTTTTCCACACAATCCCCTTTCATTTTAGTTTACTTCTCTATGTTTCAACTATTTTTTTTCTCTTTTCAAACTTTTTTTGGTTTTATTGAGATATAGCTAACAAATAGAAAGAAATGTTACATATTTAATGTGTACAACTCAGTGTTTGATATTCATGTACATTGTGAATGATCCTCACGCTCAAGCTAGTCAGCAGATTCATCACCTCACACAGTCATCTTTGTGTGTGTGTGTGTGTTTTCAAAATCTACCCTCTTAGCAAATTTGAATTATACAGCATAGTACTCCCTTTGTTTCAGAAGCAAGTTATCTTGGAAGGGAGTCCATACCCCAAAGAAGGAAACCTAAATACTATTAACTGACTCTTGTTGATGATTTGCACTTATTTATTAAAGACCCGCTGGGAAAAGATTTGCACTGGCTTTTAGTAAAATAGAACCATTCTAGAAAAACCTTTGCATGCTGTATTTTTGTGACAGTTATGTATGAAATAAAATTATACTCTTTCTAATGCCCTGGCATCCTGAAAAACTCAGGATAGAAATAAAAGATCCTTTTGGAGCTACTTTGCAAAGTGGTTGTTTTGAAGTGATTCTCCGGGAGCTAATTGCTGTGCTTTACACATTGCCCAAGCTGCACAAATGAGACTCACCTGTCATTGCTTCTGAGTATTATGCTCACATCTGTCAAATGAACATAAATGAAAAGTTTGAAGGCCTTCATTTAAAGTCACTTTTGACTTAAAGTAATAATTATTTCATACTCTTTGGGGTTCAACCTTTGCTTATTTTAAATACAGATTTTTCTTTGATTAAATATGATTTTAAGTAAAAACCTACATCTGTTTTCTGGCCCAGCCTGCTCATTCAATCATTTTTGTTTTCGTTCTTGTTTTTTTTTTTTTTTTTTTCAGGATATTGACTTCTTCTGTGAGTAAGAAATTCATCAAAACTTCAGACAGAAAGGAAATATCAAAAGATAAAAGAAAACATAACCGAAAAATACATGCATTTCATTTCAAACTTTGGCTCCAGGGCTTGTTACCTTACAGGAGGGCAGGGCATGGGGTTTCAGGTGTCAGATCAAAGAGGATTTTAACTCAGTCTTTTCTGCTCACTTGGTCTTGCCACAAACTAGGGCGGTGATAGTTGGCTTGAATGGGTAAACTGAAATCCATATGAGGAAGTTATTCTGAGAGAATTATTCTTCAGTTTGGAGGAACTTCTCTAACTTTGGGGTGTATAAAGAAGATGGTTTCTTTGTAGTTACTTCTGAATAATAATTCTTGCAAGCTGATGACACCTTGGATGTAAACTTGGTGGGTCGTAGCTTTTTCCTGTAGACTTGATGTTTTCGCCTAATTTTTCTGGTCAATTGGAGTATTAACAATCTATCTGAAGGGGCTGTATAATCAAGGAGTATGCTATTAATAGAATCATTGTTAGTTTTAGTATTTAATGACTACGGGAGAAAAAAAAAAGCTTTTTAGATCCATAGGTACTTAGACTATGTCTCCAGATTTTGCTCTCTCTCTCTCTCTCTCTCTCTTTTTTTTTTTAGAAAGATTTTCGTTATAAGGTACTTGTGTTTGCTGGAGAGAGAGAGAGAGAGAGATGGAAAGCAAGAAATCACTCCCCAAAAGGGATGGCCATGCTACAATCCCTTCTCTGCTATTTTCCTCTTGGCATTTTAGACAGGCATGCACACGTACCCAACATGAGTTTAAGCCAGGGTCTGGGACTCGAACTGTGGTTGACTATGTTGGAGTCCAGCAACGTAAACTTTATGCCATCTGGTTGTCCCCAGACTTCTCTTTAAAAGGCTTACAAATCACTTTGATTAAATAACTTTGCCTTCTAATTGATCAATTTACTTCTCCCCAAATGTTAGCTTAAGTATGTGTGCATATAGTTGGGGGAGGACAGTTTATGGAAATATTTTTAGTGGAATAATTTCTCCTTTGTGTGTTCCCACATTGGATGCTATTGAAGCTTCAAGTCATCAAATGAAACAGCAAAAAAAAAAAAAAAAAATGTCTGTGGATTATTCTCTCTACTTATGTTTCAACTTTGAATTTCCTCTTCCCTTCCAAATTCCTCTAGTCAAGAGAGATGTATGAAAAAAATCTGATGATGGGACACTAGTCGTGGTTCTGATGGGCCCATGAGTTTTCTATGTTTAACTGGAAATCTGCTTTAACTGTGTATTAGTAATGCAATCCTTTCCATATAGTCATGAGTTTTTCTTTGTTTACATGTAATTAAAATGCTTGTACTATACTAACAAAAATCTTCATAATTGAGTTTTTTTTTTTTTAATTTTTAACGTAGAGTGTGTGCACTCATTGGGGACAGACAGAGACAGGGATGGCAAGTGAGAAAGCATTCCCCCTCCCCGGGGAGGATGGCCACATCACAACCCCTTCTCTTTCATTTAGTTCTTGGGATTTGGGGCACACATGTATGCTCATGCATCTGGCATGATTTTTTAAGCTACCGGGTCCACCCCCAGCCTCTGTCAGCCTAGATCACTGTGTGCACATGTGCATGCCTGGTCTACTTAGGGAGGTCCTGAGATGCGAATCCAGACCCTTTCTAGTTTTGTTGGTACAGTTGTGTCACCACTGTGTCACTACCTGACCCCATCTTACTTTCATTTCTATCTGCCTCTCACTTGCTGGCCCCCTTCCAGGTACCCCATCACCCTTCAAGACACCCTGAGCCCCCCTTGCCCATCTATCTGACCCAGCCTCATTTCCCATGCCCAAGGCCTCCTGCATAGCAGAATTCGAATCAGCTGTCTCCCAACAGCACTGATCTCATCCAGGAGTGAGTGGGAGGTCATTGATGGATTTGAATCTCCTGCGGTCTCTCTGCACTGAAAGAATGAATGCACTTGCGAACTTTAACCCCCATCTGGTGGTTCAGCATGCAGTGTCCTCCCTGGACCAGTAGGGGCATGGGCTCCTCTGAGAGCTGGTTAGATAAAACTCACAATCCCAGGGCCCACTGCTTACGTTCTGGATCAGAATCTACATTTCAAAGGATCCCCGAGGGATTCCTCTGTACATTAAAGATTGAGAGACACTGATTTCAGCACTCTACTCTCATTTTGTGAATAAATAAACACACCAAGCCAGAGAAACTGGGAGAGGAAGCAGGTCTCTCAGAGTTAAGCAGTGTGATTCCAACCTTCTCAACAGCTCTTTCCCACATAATGTAGGCACTGTCTTGGGGGTCTATTGGTCTACCTGGAGAAAGGGACCCATGGTGATAAGGTGAGAGTTTGGTGCAATAGGCTTTCTGGGACCCTTTTTTTTACTTGAGGAAACTTCTTCCTTCTCTAATTCTCACTAAGAGCAGGGACATCTTAGCTCCTCTAAAAGGTTATTGATATAAAAAACAGTTCAAAATGTAGTGACCCTTGAAAGAATCCTAGTTTGTAGGCTTCTTTGATATCCCAAGGTAAGTGCCATATATATATATATATATATATATGTTGTACTGTATATATAGGCACCGACAGACCAGACCAGTGCCATATATATTATTTATATATAAAATGGATATATATATGTATATATATATAATAGATATAATAGATACATGATATATAAAAGAAATATGTAATATGTAATAGAAATGTAATATATATATATACACACACACACACACACACACAATAGAAAGCTTAAACACATCTTATGACTTCATTAAGAGTGTGCACTTTCAGTAGCTCAAGATGCTACCTAGATTCATTGGACTGTGAACACACTTATTGCCCAAATACAGTCCTCCTATACCTTCCATCAGTCACGTCTATTAATTACACCCTTCAAAACCTTTCTGTTACAATAACGTGTCAAGCTCACTGTCCCATCCACCATCTTACTCAAGCAAAGTCACTCCAGGTGACCATGAGATCAACTGATGGAACACGACTTCCTTGTTACTTTCCCCCTCTCATTAGCAATTTTTACCTTTAAAATAATCCAGAAATCTTGAAGACCATGGAACGCATTATTCAGGGCAACTTGGATATTATGGTGCCCAGGCCATCATCCTAACTCTGGCCCAAATTAACTGTTTTTTTAAATTCGTTTTCTCTTCGGTTGACATGACTTAGTCGAGATCAACATCCTCACTTACCATTCTCAGGCTGTTTTATTTTTATTTTTTTAAATTAAAAAGAAATTTTTTTAAAAAAGATTTTTGCTATAGGGCGCATGTGCTCACCAGAGAGACAGAAAGTGAGAAATCATCCCCTAGGAGGTGATGGCCATGCTACAATCCCTTCTCCTCCATTCTCCTTTTGGGATTTTGGGCATGCATGCACACATGTCTGATGTGAGTTTCAAGCCTCTGAGTCCAGAACTAGAACCGCTGTTGGCCAACTGGGAGTCCAGTGATGTATGCCATCTGCTGGTTCCCCTTTCCCAGTTGTCATACCTCAGATCTTACTCTCCCTTTTGAAATTAAGACTGACTAAATATGATTAAGGACAACAGAGGCACTGTTGCCATTCATCCTGTAGTTTCTGAAATAGCCTCAATTAGGAAGTGTTTAGATTTTACTCTGCAGCTTGTACTGCCTCCCAGTGGGGGAGAATTGAGACATTTACTCCTCCAACTCTGTCTTTGGAATATGGGGAGTAAGACCCCTGCCTGTGGAAGAATAAAGACACATTACAGCAGTGAATGTGGGTAAGGGAGGCAAATAGTTTCCATGAACACCTCAGGGCAAGAGGTAGACTTTGCTCAGAGCAGAGCCATTTGGAGAGGTTTCCAGTGCAGGATGAGACAAAGGAAGAATCGTTAGAAAGTGAGCATAGTCAAAGTATGGTGCTTAAGCAATAAAATGAAGTCATGTTTAAAGGAAACATGTTGGGAGCTATTGGTGGCTCCGAAAAGCCAGGTGATGACCCAGCCTTGGTAGTACAAGTGGTGGTGCCTGACCTGCAGTGCTGGAAGACACATGGCTGAATGCAGGTTCAGACCTTGGGTCGACCTGAAACATACTGGGCACATGCGCTAGATATCCTAACTAACTGAGGGCTGGAGACAGGGAATTACAGCGTGGTGACACCCTAGTGAGGGTCACTGTGCCTCTCTTACTCTCACTCCCTCATGAAAGAAGTAAAAATAAAAATTAAAAAAAAAGAAAGAAAGAAAGAAAAGAAAGGCCATGGAAAGAGAGCTCAGGGCACCATGGGGTTTTAGAATAATGTGGGTTGCCATATAGGTCCCATAGTGTAGTAAGGGAGCCAAATCCCACTTGGATGACCAAGGTTCAAATCCCAGACCCAGAGGTTTGAAAAACATATCCAGCATAAATGCTCTAAATCCCAACAGAATAGATAAATAGTGGAGAAGGGATTGCGGAATGACCATGCCACACTGCGAGTGCTTGCTCTCTCTCCCTTTTACTGGTTGTCTCTGGACGGTGCCCATATTCTCTAAAAACAAACAAACAAACAAATAAATAAATAAAGTAGGCCTCCATTTCCTAGCTGTGCCTACTTAGATAAGGTTTGAACCTCAGTGAACCTCAGTTTTTGTGACTAGACGTAGGTAACCACGTCTCCTTTGCTGGGTTGTTCTGAAGATGAAATACAATGTGGACACAGGCTCTGGACATTGTAGGACCCTTACATGCATTACCTGATCTCCTGGAACTGAACAGAAAACAGGCTTTTTCTTTTATGAAGTTTCTGCTCTAAACTGTCGGATATGTCACAGACAAGCAATCGCAGTTACTGATTCAGACCTTCTGGGATTTCTGAATGAGCGTTCTTTGCAATACTTTCTGAATTGCACGAATTTTTTCAGATTTATTTATTTATTTATTACTTTTTTTTTTTTTTGAGAGGTTTTTGCTACAGGGTGCATGCACTCGCCAGAGACAGAGAGATACATAGTGAGAAATCATCCCCCTGGGT